AACTCCTAAAGCATAAACGGTGGCTCACAGTTTTTTTTTCTTGTTTTTCGACTTTGAAATATAAAGAACAAACAAAATGCATACTTCATTTAAATAAAACACACATATAATGAGAAACATTGAATTGTTGTATACTTATTAAATATATCATGTTAATTAAAATTGTTAAATGATTTCATTTTTAGTCGAATATTAATAAGGAAGATTGTTATCTACGAAGGAGCAATCAGCATACATGCGATGTGATAATATATGATATTAACCTGTTGTTGAATGGTCATCTTCCTCCATCGGGAAGGAGTGGAATGCATGTTTAGCGTGCTGTGATATAATGGTGACATGCATTTTGCAGCTTCAACTACGCAATATTGTGCAATCCCATATGTCTGCAAATTGATGCACAACGTTGCTACTCCACACTGTATTTAAAGTGCATACACACTTCCTTGCGATTTGGCAATCTTGTTGGATCCTTGTTAGTTATTTGTACTAGGCCTAGACAGGGTTTGACATGACACCTTGAACTTTGGTGTAATCTGTATTTAAAGTGCATACACACTTCCTTCCGATTTGGAAATCTTGTTGGATCCTCGTTAGTTATTTGTACTAGGCCTAAACAGGGTTTGACATGACACCTTGAACTTTGGTGTAAATTCTTGAGCTAACTACATGAACAAGGCAAAGTTGGCTGTGTAGATTATACTGTGTCTGTTTATGGATTGCTGATGATTTGTTTTGCTAGTTTTAATCATCTACTTTGTTTTTCTTGTTGAAATCCACACCCAAAGTAATAATTTCTTTGTTGAAGTAATAGTAATACAGTCTAAGTAATATTAATACAGTCTTACAGTCTTTCGCAGGAGCCTTTCAAATCTGTACCTGTCATATGGACCATACAGGATAGGTCTTTGGCTATTCGTTTGAGTCAATATCTTAAAAATGGTCAGACTGAACTTCTCAATTATTGGAAGCAAAATTTTAACAGAGCTACTGTTGTAGTATTCACAAACTACTTTTTACCGGTATTGATTGCAATTTGCTTCAATATAACACTACTTTGAATGATATAGGAAATTATGCAGAATTTAGATGTCTAATTTGTTTAGTCTCAAAAGCTTGCATTTTTTTAAAAAATTCTTACAGATCATGTATTCAACATTTGACAATAGCAACTATTTTGTTATTCCAAGCTCTGCTGCTGAGGCCTGGAAAGCAGTTAGTTTTCTTGCCTCAAAGAATGAGACTGATTTCCGAGTTAATAAGGGTTATAAGTCGGAGTTCCTAATTGCTGTAGTTGGCAGTCAATTTGAATACAGCGGTATGTGGCTGGAGCGTGCACTTGTATTACAAGGATTGGCACCACTTGTCCTTGAATTTTCTTATGGCAATTCTTTTTCTAGTTTCAAAGTTGGTGTAGTAACAGGGAACTCTAGTTGCGCATTTAAGATGGCTCTGAAGGTACTGTGCTGTTTCGCTAAACTGTGCTCTATTATATCGAGATTCTTTTCAATAATTCAAGCTGATTTTTTAAAACATTATTTTTTTTATAATTTCGTTTTCTTTTTTATTGTTGCAGGCCATCGTTCAAAACTTTGGTTACCCAAGGGGCAGTGTGCATCAGATAACTGACAATGGTGAGTACAATTTTCTTTGGACAGCGAACCTTGTGATATATGGATCATTCCTTGAGGAGCAAACTTTTCCACCGGTTTTGTTGCATGCTATGAGTATTGGAAAATTGATTGTTGCTCCTGACCTTGAAATAGTTAAAAAATATGTATGTTATTCCATGTCTATTTCTGCGGAATATTCAGGCACGAACTCATTTTATCTTTTGGAATATGAAATTAGTACCTATTTTTTTAAACACTTGATATTAGGTTGTTGATGGGGTGAATGGTTTTCTTTACCAAAAGTATAAGGTTAACAAGATAGCACAGGTTTTACGTCAAGCAATCTCAAGGGCAAAATTATTATCCTCAGCCCAGCAAATGGCATGGTTAGGGAAGGCTAGAAATCCAATGGTCACTGAAACTATTCAAGGCTATTCATGGTTACTGGACAATATTCTTAAGTTTCCATCTGAAATTTCTTCTCCTAAGGAAATTTCTGACGTACCTTCAAAGTTGAAAGAAGAATGGCAGTGGCATCTGTTTGAGAATCTAATAGAGATGAACCATCAAAATAAAACTATTCAAAGCTATCAAATTTTTGATGAGCTAGAAGAAGAGTGGAACCAAACACAAGCGAGTTATAGTGTTTCTTTTGACTCGGGTTTGGATGAACAGTTCTCCAGCATAAACTGGGAAGAAGAGAAGATAATTCACATTGAGAATGCTAGAAAAAGGTTAGAAGAAGAAGAGGTCAGACATGATTTTTTCTTTTTTTTTTAAGACATGTCTGTTTATGTCATTGTTGGTCTCTATATATCTGCTCCTTTTTATTAACGTTTAAGAAATGTCTAACCTACGCAAACATCATTCAGTTGAAGGAAAGAAATGATCAGCCTCACGGAACATGGGAGGAGGTCTATCACAGTTCTAAAAGAGCTGACAGGGCTAAAAATGAGTTGCATGAAAGGGATGGGAAGGAACTTGAGCGGACAGGTCAGCCTTTGTGTATATATGAACCTTATTTTGGTGAAGGAACATGGCCTTTTCTGCATAATAGCTCACTATACCGTGGAATTGGCTTGGTATGTTTATCTATCTGGTCATTACCCTCACCCCTTCTTTTGTATTAAGATGTCTGAGTTACATATATTTATGATGCAAAATATTTCGCTCCTGAATTTTATTATATGATATGCAACTGAACATGTTGGAGGATTTGCGATAATCTCCATATTAAGCTACTATCCTTCTGCCAAGTTTCATTCTTGATTGGTTAGTATTTCGTGATGCAAATTCTTTATTGCCTTGCATAAATATATTCTTCTAACTCAAATCATGTCTTGAACATATTATAGGCTTAGTTTCACTCTCTAGTTAACTCGTTTATGCTTTTCTTATTTTAGATGCCACGGGTACTCTTTGATTTCAAAACAGGAAAATAAACATCCAGTACTCTCTTTAATCTGTTGTCACTTTTATCTTGTTTATCAGTTAATTAAATATATACTGCCAGATTTTTTCTATTGCTAATGTGCTTTTCCTTTGGCGTAGTCCACCAAATGGCGCAGACCTGGAGCTGATGATATAGATGCTAATTCCCGTCTACCGATTCTTGGTAATTCTTATTACCGAGATGCCTTAAGTGAGTATGGGGCGTTTTTAGCTATAGCTAACCGCATTGATAGAATACACAAGAATGATTGGATTGGATTCCAGTCGTGGAGAGCTGGTGCTAGAAAGGTATGGTCAATAGATCTATTGTCCCTAGAAATTTAATTCGTTTTGATTTTTATTAATTTACTTGATCTACTACCATATGTCGATCTTAAAGGGTGTCTTTCTAGTGTCTGTGACGTGAAAGCATTTTGTCTGGCTGTTTATCTTAAGCATGAAGATTATTAAGGAGTTATGGGTCTAATTCTTTGAGTATTCTTATTTTTATTGACAAAATAATTGTGAAATGTTGGGAAAAACACTCGAGGGCAAATATAAAGTGAAGGGAGATAAAAACATTGCAAGGAAAACATCTAAACAAGATGGGAGGATATTTTTGCTTAACAATTTTCATCGTCTACTATTGCTCAATGAAATTTTCAGCAGTCTAGAAGTAGCGCAAGGCAAAATATATTTACCATTAAGTATTTCCTTGTCTCACTAGTATCCTATCTCTCAGTCTCTCTCTCTCTCACTTTTTCTCCTCTCTTGAAACTCACATTTTTCTCTCTTTCCTTTTTCGAATAAAAGCATCTATAATATATATATATATATATTAGAAAGCTCAAAAAGGCTAATATATTAACTAGAAAGAAAGATACAGATATAATATATTGAAGGACCCAAACATGGCACCCTGTTCACACCAAAACCACAAGTGGCTCCAAAACTAGAAAATACAGAAAAGTACAGTATAGACATAAAGAAATAACCTAAAAGTGCTGAAATACAAAATATTAGGTGGCTAGAGCGCAATCCAATTTGGTTTTGCCTCTGTCTCTGGTTCTAGGGAAGGAGCAAGCTAATAAGTTGATAAGATGATTGTCATTTTCAGTAGTAACCAATGTATCATCTAATATGTTCCCTAGCTGGAGTCAGCCTCCATTCTTCTTCTTCCTCCTGGAATAGACCTGTCATTCCTCTTCCGAAGATTGACTCACCTGATCTTGGTCTAACGTGTGTTGGAGATGTGCAGATTGTTGAACATTAGAAGCAACAACATGTTGTACCAGCTAATCTGCTATTGGATCAAATGAGCACTCTTGTGTCTTTGCATGTAAGAGAATCTTCTTCAATAACAGTGGGTAGTATAAGCACAACTGAATATGTAGCTGTAGTTTGTTGTTCTTCTTCAGGAACTGTGGTGTTAGGAAGAGGATCGGGTTATATCTTCTCAACAAGGATAATAGGTGGTTGTTCTTTAGTGATATTCAGCCTTAGATGAAGATGCAAACGATAGCAAATAGTAGCGGCCAGAGGTCTTCCTCAGTGCAGATTCCAGCTTTGTCCTACTAAACTTGTAGAGGGACTAGTCCCTGCAAGCTCCGAGGATGGATGGGTACGCCTCGATTATCACTGATGTGCTTTCGTCGGAGGGATTACAAAATTTCCTGAATAACCTTTGGCCCAGAGACCTATGGCACATGGTCAATCAGCACCAACTTCTTAAACTCACAGCCACACATCACTTCTTCTCTCTACCTCAAAGTGAGAGATAGGACTTTAAAAGCTCAGATGAAGGCTAAAGAATTCAAGGCACGAGCAAGAGC